GCCTTCGGCGCGCGCGCGCAGCCCCGCGCTGGGCTGCCCGGGGCTCTTCCGCCCCGTCTGACCCGCTTTGCAAAGCGCGACCCCTTCCCCCCCTTGCTTGCGACCCTTCCGACGTTTCTGGCAGCCTTTGCTGCGGAGCAGACGCGTGTTAGGACCGCAGGAGAGGCTGGAAGGCGATTTGGGTAGTGCGGACCCGTGCCGCGCCTTGCAACCCGTGCACAGACGCGGGCTTGGGGATGCGTTAACGGCGTGGGTGGATTGCAAAGCCCAGAATCCTGGGCCGTCTTCTTCTGCCTCTTGCAAACTTCTAGAGCAGCGTTGCTCAACCTGGGCAACTTTAAGAGCTCAGCTCCCAGGATCCCCCAGCCAGCTCGGGAGCAGGCCGGCTGGGGGATTCTGGGCATTGAAGTCCACACCTTTTGAAGTTGCCCAGGTTGAGAATCGCGGCTCTAGAGCCTTAAGTGGGTTTCTGCTGCAGGGAGGAAGGTGACCCAGGTGTTCCCATTTTGTGGGTGGAAGGACTGAGGTTGGATGGCTTAACCTTGGTTGAATGGACTCGGTTTCTCTTCCGGGAGAAGGGTCTATCGGTGGGCTTGATGGCCTGGAATCCATCAGTAGGAACGCTGGGGAAAGGGACCCCGTCATGCTGGAATTCTGAATTTTAAGGGATAATGAAGCCGAGGGGGTCACTGAGATTCCAAGAAAATCGATTTTTGTAAAACTCGCAGCAAGAACCAGCCGGAGTCTGGGTCAGGAGAACGGATGGAGAAAAGGAAGCTGAAGCTGGGTGGGAGTTCTACGAAAAGGAGATACTAAAAGCAGAATTGCAAATAATTCCTGTTGGGGAGGCGGAGAGGAAGACGATGTGCTGCGTGAGATGTTGATCGGCCATTCAAAAATCACTTCTTGAATATAAAGGGAAAACCCTAACGTTACGAGTTCAGCATTCAAATCAGGGGCCCTGAAAATAAGAGGCTGTGGGGCTCCCCATAGCTGGCGGTCGGGAAGGCTGGCAAAAGGGGGCTGGACTAAGTGCCCTCCGGGACCCCTTCTGATTCTAGGGCTCTTGAAGCCTGATTTTTTGACCCACGGCCTCGCTAAACCGCCTGACCCCAGAGGTGGCAATCGTAGATTTGGGAGTTAGGGAAATGGGGGCTACGCCTGGAATCTCAAACGCGCTGGCTGGGCCGCCCCAAACCCCCCCTCCGAGGGCCAGATCTGCAGCCTCTGGTGGTCCTCCTGTTCAGCCCCCCACCCAGGCTCGGTCTGTGGGGGTTTTTTTGCTCCAGGAGCAAACCAATTTTCCAAACCGATTTTGCCCCAGGCAGGTGGCCAGCAAGATTCCACTGTGGGTTACATCATATTCCTTTCCCTTTGCAAGCCATTCCTCCCGCATGACCTCATTTGGAGCGGACCCCAGAATTCGTTCTATTACCTCCTTAGGCCGAATGATCACTTCTGAAAAACGGGAGGGAGGAGGAGACTCAAACGGCCCCCCCTCCAACGTCGCAGATTCGGCCAGCGGAAGGGATTCGGTCATCGGTCCCCGTGCAGATTCTCTTCTGATTTTTGCAAAGAGTCAAAACGTCCTGATGCCACGCGCTGAATCGGGTCAAGGAAAGATCTGGCATTCCTGCTACGTGCTCGACTTGATTTAAAAACCAAAAAATATGGGTGGGTTGAGATGAACCTTCCACTCCTTTCCCGAATGCAGAATGCAAAATGCAATTTTATATTTCTTTCTTTAAAAAAGGGCCTAGCTACCTTAGAATGACATCTCTCCAGCTTAGGATTCTCCAGGTGGGTTGCGCTCTGACACGTAGAATCCCTCGACCCACTGGGGGATTCTGGGAGTTGTAGTCCAACGCATCCAGGAGGCCACAAATCGGGAAGGATACGGCTGAGATTTTGAAAACAGATTTTGCTGTAAATCCTAAAACAAAATTTCTTGCCAAGAGAGACAATAATGCACATTGGTTGCTCTGCTATTATTATTTAATGCCTGCTTGATAATGAGTCATCATCAAGGATGTCCAGATAACCCAACTCTACAGAAAATTCCCACCAGCCAAATGCAATCAGTAATTTCTTTTCATTCTGTTTCTACTTTAGCAGTGTCTTCAAACGACGAAGCTTTTTAACTTTGACAAATACTCTTTGGCCAACTCTCTAGCTTTTGAAATTCCATGCAGCGCGACTTCTTAGCATTTTTGTAAGGTCCCAAAACTTGATTGTTCATCTTCAAACCTGGTCATTTTCTTATATTATGGAATAATTTAAATAGTGTTTCTCGACCTTAGCAACTTTTAAGAGGTGTGGACTTCAACGCCCAGAATTCCCCAGCCAGGGGACATGCTGGCTAGGGAATTCTGGGAGTTGGAGTCCACCCCTCTTAAAATTGCTAAGGTTGAGAAACACTATCTAAGATTTGTATGGGTGTCTCTCTGCTTTTGAAGTTAGCTGATTATTTACCAGGTTTAAATCACCACATTGTCTCTTAGGACATCCTAGGCGGAAACAGATCAGCCAAACGTCAATATCCTAGCTAATTTCAGAGGCCAGTCTTGGGTTTCATGCTTAGCTCCTACCTCCAACCTAGCACTAAGTAGATCTAGAATAAATTTCTCTACAGATCCCTTAAGTAAAGATTGTGAAATTTCCCCCCAGTCTTTTGTGACAAAAATAAAGAAGAATCCTGTGGTTTAAGAACTAATTAATGTATTATGGCTTAAGCTTGAACAAATCCCAGTTCAATTCTTCAGACGTCTCCCTGTCCATCATTTTCCAGATGTCTTTTGTGACAAAAATAAGGAAGAATCCTGTGGTTTCATGACTAATTAAGGTATTACGGCATAAGCTTGAATGAATCCCACGTCTATTCTTCAGATGTCGTCCTGCGGAAGCCACTGCGACAAGATTGAGGAAGGAGAAATCTTTTCAACCCATCACTGACCAGGGGGTGTGTGGGGAAGCAGAGATCATCCTCGAAGGATTATTTTGGCAGTTTTTGCACATGACCAAGGGTTGGGCTTAACGGCTGTGACCTGGATTAGAGATGGGTGGCTGTATCAACTGAAATCATCAATAAAAAAATAAAATAAAAACCGTCCAGATTGCCTGAGATCCTGCAATGAATGACAGCATCAGAAAAGGAGGCGGTGAAGGAGGGGAAAATCTTTCCAGAGCATGAGAATATAATCCCGCGGCATCTGTAAACATCCTTTGTGTTCTCGGCTGGCCTTTCTTGGGGGCATTTTCTCCTGTCCGTCCGGTTTTGACTTTCCAGATTTCTTCCCGAGGCAACGCCGCTACGCTCTGCTCCAAACTGGGCCGGTGCCACGCTTTCCGAAAAGTTCGCCGTGGAAAGAAAACAAAGCCGTTGGAAGAAAGAAAAGCACGCGCGCACGCCCTTTCTGGCTGTGGAAATCTAGGGAAAGAGCCCTTCCCAGGTTTGCTCCTGCAAGGAGCCCCATTTATT